GAAAATATTCGTTAATCGTAAAACAGACAGGCTAAGGATTTTAATTGACTCTGAAAACAGCACCATAAATGAAAGTGTACAAGGCCTCTAGATAAGATGACCAAGTAGTGGCATCCACTGAGTTTGAAGAAAAATTAAGAGCAAACATCAAAATATAAAATATTATTAAAAATTTTGCAGTCGGATTATATTTTATTTTTAATTAAGTTTTTTTAAAATCACTTAATAGAAAACCTTAAATTCCCTAGAAAATGATGTTGTTTCTTACAAACAAAAACAAAATCTGGATGGAAATAGTTAAAATATAAAAAAAAATTTAATTGAGAATTTATATAAAATTTGAGGACAAAATTGATGTATGAAATCATTTGATAATTTAATTGATACTATCTACGTAGTTCGAACGACGATATTTTTGAGGTTTGTCTGGAATTTTATTACTAGAAATTTTATATAGTTTTTCCTGTTTTATGTAACTAAAAGAATAATAGGAACCTATATATAAATAACAAAGAGATTTAAATTCAAAACCTTTAAAAAAGAAGAAGATTGAACACTAATACTAGCTACTTGAGTTAAAATTCTTTAGCTATATTCATGTCCGGCTCTAGCTAGCAGTTAATTTTGCTTTCTTTAAGTAGCAATCTTGCTTGCTGGTTTGTAGATATCTCCTCGCTGAGGTCTAAAATAGAAGTTTAATTCGTTACAGAAAAAAAAAACTAATATCAAATATGCTAAAACTTTTGTCACCAAACTTTGTTCTGAGAAAAAATAAAAAGATCAAGGACCAAAATTGACATCTCACAAAAAGCCCTTTTCACACTTTCAATGTTCAAAGGGCACAGAAATATTCAATTTTGTCCCTAAAGTTTCACTTTGTTCATATCCAATCTTCTTTGGGCTTTTACGCTTCTGTTCATAATTTAATTTTTTGTCATTCATTTTCTCTCGATGTGTAAAGAAGAGAGAAAGTTCCTGTATAACAAATATCAAGCCGTCTTTGAATGCGGGAGAACTTAATATATATGGTTTCTTTTAATGATGTTCAACAGTTCAAAAATCTTTTTAATTTGATTTGATTTAATTTTTTAAAAATAAAATATATATTATAGTTAGTTATGAGGTTAGAGAGGTACATAAGGTTAGAGAGGTACATACGATGGTTTTCTTTCATATTATTTTAGTCAAGAAAATTTGAAATATAGGTTTTTAGAGTGAGAAAACTTGAACCCTAATCTTCTAGGGATTGAAGCTAGCTTTGATGGTCATAAAAGATTTTAGATGGACTCCATGTCATTTATCATGGTAGAGGATGTGTTGTCAGCATTATTTTGAAATATATATATATATATTGGAGCTTCTTTTGAGATAAATATATGGCAGATTGCAATAGAAATAATGATAAAACTAATTCTTACAAATTATAAATATGCTATTTTATTTTTCCCAAATTCGATCTGATTTACTCTAAATCCATCCAATTCCATACAAGGAGAATGGAGAGAGATCGTTACAAACTAAAATCTATTTTATTTTTCCCTGAAGCCATCCCCTTCCTTTACTCACCAGTACTCCCATTTAGCCCATTGGGTATATTTGAAACATCAGAAGCTGCATGCTACTGATCCTGAACTATATAAATATCAGTGCTGCTAGAAATGTCATTAGCCCACAATAAAGTACGATCTTGCAGGTAAGATTCAGGCCTCATTTGGAGACTCATATTGGTAATGTCCAAACCATGGTACATATGGAGCTTCAGCTTCAAGTCCTGAACAGTATTACTCCGGTGGGCTCTTACTTCATACCTCTGGTATTGCCCATCAGGGTTTTTTCCGATGATTCCAACAGTGAAAAATATTTGGAGGATAATTTCAGAATCATCAACGACTTCATAAGTTTCTAATTTTATGTAATTTAGCAACAACAGCCCGTTAAAAAGCAACTCTTGGTTCTCCACGGCATAGAAATGAAACATACGATGGACTGCCTCTTTTAGGTCCTGGACAGTTGCATCATTTGGAAGTTCTATGGGGAACCTTGTACCATCAATAACAACCTTGACCTTCAATGTCTGCAAAGAACACATTTATATCATAGTTAACTCCAGAATTTATCACGGCATAAAGCTATATAATTAGCAAGTGAAAATACTACATAAGTCAAGAAAATCAAGTTCGATGAAAGATCATACCATTATTTTTTTCTCAAGTTCAGGTGTAGGTAGCTTAATTCTGACCTAGTACTGCCAGAGAGAATGATTTAGGTCGGCTAAGAGCTTTTGACGGGTACGATTATGCCAATAACTCTTAATTAAAGCATATTTCCACTATGATTTGGATGCTTTTTTGTTTTGGTAGAGAACTTGTGAACTGACTGTCAGAAGATCATTCTATTAACATGTCAAGGGATGTGTGTTATTTGCTTCTCCAAGAAAAAAAAAAGGGGAATTAAAAAAAAAAAAAGACTTTCAATTGTACGACATTGTTTAAGTGTGTGCTTATTACTTGTTGGTCAAGAATAACATATATTCATAGTAGAAATAAGGAGTTGATTGAAACGGAACTATTTTATGTGTCAATAAAGAAACCACTAACGATTTGTTCTGCCTATACGAGTCAAAACAATTTTTTACTCCTTAACAATCTTTCAATATCAATATTGATGGAGATTTTTCTGTGTAATGGTGGGTTTTTTCTCACCTTAAACTCTAGACTTATTATCTGAGTTTAAAGGATTATATCCTTCCAAAAATGTTCTCTCAGTTTTAATTTTCATTGATGAGAGAATTAACTCTCCTCGTGAAAATAAGAATACTAGAGAGATTTTTTCTCCCTAATAAGATAAAATCTATCTTTATTATGTCAAATTACTTGACAATTTGACTTTCCTTTTTCTTTTCTTTTCCATCTAATTTGTGTTCTAATTTGTGTTACACTCAAATATAAAATAGACTAAAAAAATTCAACATTTCCCACTCTCGTATGGTTGGGATTACAAAGTGATAAATTAGGGGAAGACACATTATAAAGGTAACGTTTCATAAAACAAAATGTTCTAAGGGTAACACGTTTTTTCTTTGAATATAATTAACCCCTTATTTAAAACTCTGGAATCAATATATATTTTAAAATTTCTAGTTTTTTTTAATTACTAGATGATGGTTATCATTTTTCTATGATATGTTTTTATCCTCCGCCGCGATGGCTACCGAGGAGCAACAATTCAGATTAGCAATACTTCACTTATAGATTCCCCGATTGGTTCCTCCTTCAAGGTTTGGTCTTCTTATAAAAATGACAAATGCGTTAGATTTAAAGCTCACCTGATTGAAAGAAGCAACTGCATGGGTTTTTTTAGAATAATCAACTGTATTAATAAAAAACATAGGTATTTAAAAGATGACCCCTGAAAAGTTTAAAAGTCGTTTAAAGAAAAATAAAGTGTTTGCGTTACAAATAATATAGGAGGAATAAGAAAGAAACTTAGCTAAAATTAGATTCACTACACTTTAACCCATGAATGAAGTCATTTCCAGTAGAGCTAAAATTAAATTCCCTACACTTTAGTCAAACTGATAGTCAATGCAAAATCAAAGAGAAACTGAAATTCCAATCCAAAATATTGATAAATCAATAAATCTATAATTTAAGGGATGCACAAGATACTCTCCATCAATGTAAAAAATTTACCCATAATTGCCCAGAACTAGAACAATGAAATAACAAATGATCCATAGTCTCCAGCTCTACTGCAATTGTATGGTTCTTCTGATGTTGAACACTCACTAATGTTTCTTCTGTTGCGGTTTCAAGATACCATATATTTCACTAATATTTCAAAGATACCATTTATCATCTGGGATTTCCACAGGGTGTCTTCTACCATCAATAACAATCTTGACCTTAACTGTCTGCAAAATACCATATATTTCAAAGAAATAATAGTTAAATTGGTGTCCGGTTGTTCCGAATTTTCTCAACAATAGATTACTGGATTGGATTGGATTGGATTGGATTAATTAGTTTATACATAGAGATTATTGGATTGGATTGGATTAATAAGTTTATTAATTTAGTGCAAGCATAATAAAATAATTAGTAAGACTGCGCATGTTTCCTTTTTTTCTTTGTCTTTCATGCCTTGAAAAAAAATACGAGAATAGCACTGCCACGCACAAAAATGAAAATTCGTAAAAGGTAAGATGTACGGTTTCTAGTGGCCATAATCAATAATGATAAAAAAGAATAATTAATTACACAATTATACTCCTCTTTCACATAAATTTAGGATTCAACATAAAAATTATTTATGAGTTTCATGATAAACTGAATAATTCCTTTTATAGAGATACAATTTATTTTTTTATGGAATAAATTATAAATTTAAATTTACAACCAATTAATAATATCAAAGATATGTACCCATAATTCCAACCAAATATTCAACATTTTACAAATTAATTATGGGTTATAAAAGCATGTATTAAATCCCAAAACGTGCACGTAAGGAAGATGCTTTCTTTGATTTTGCAAAATCTTTTGAGACTTTAACAGGGATGACAAAAGGGAAACAACTTAATTAGCCATTGAGTTGAAATATTGATCAAATTCTCCAAAAAATTTGGAAAAATGAAAGAAAGAAAGAAATTGCTCAAATTAAAGAAAGCATCGTATGAATATGGTAGAAAGTATCCATAAATATATACCAAAAACACTGAAGAATTTTTAACATAATCTTGAACAAACCATCGAGTAGTGTGAAAGTAATTTCTCATCACAAAGGTTTACGTCTTAAAAATCGAAGCACAAAAGCAATATATGCTATCTAAGCATTGAAAAGGAAATTTACTGACACTACATGATCATAACTTGTTCAAAGAGTAGAATGTTGATGCTGAGCCTAAAGTCAGTGCTTGAGCTTGATTTATACAGTTAACAACCCTAGAAAAATTGAAGCACATGTCATGGAAAATTACCCTCAGGAAAATTCAAGAAATACTAAGATCCACTGGTTACAGTTCCATTGAAGATCTCAATTGTATCGCCCTGTTTAACATGGTTCCACCGAAACGATCGATCATCGTCCATAACATTCTGTTTATGTATGAAAAAATACCCTTCTTGTGGAAGATGGAATTGATATTCCTGTTGCAAATCTTGCAGCTCTTTTCTAATCTCTCCAACATTATCCAATGGATTCACTTCGATAGGAATCTTCTTAGTGCCACACTTGGTCACAACAATCACCCTCAGTTTCTTGAGACCTGTAGAGCCCCCTTTTGATCCTGAGCCAGATGGTGATGGCTTTACGTTGACGCTAATCTCACTATTATACTTCAACTCACATTCATGTAAAGACTGATGATCTTGCAACTCCACACCATTCGATTGTAGCACTAATCTTTTCACTGGAACTGGCTCTATCAAATGAATCTTTTCTTTTAGATGTAGCACAGTATCGCTCATATCCATTTCAAGAGGGACAAGCGTTTGGTTTGATGGAATCTTGATACGCAGCAGAACTTTCTTGGAGTGTGAGCTTTGTTCAACATTGACTTGAGGTTTTTGATCGGTTTCAGGGGTTACAAGGAGTTGAATGCGAGAGTTTTGAAGGATTTCACAATATTCTACATCTTTATCATCTTGAAGAACTTGGCCATGAAATACTAGGGTTTGCTTGTTTATAGGTATACCATGGTACTTGTGTACCTTCTCTTTGATCTCCGAGACTGTATCAAAGAAACCCACTTCAATGGAGAATGGCCCGCCTCTTTGGGGCTCAAAAATGACATCCATTGACAATGATGGCAGTGGATGAGGTATGGATGGCAATGGAGATTTTGTGGGGGTTGGAATGTGAGGAGGGTTTTTATATGTTGTTGTAACAGCATGCGATTTTGCCTAATTGTGTGGCGATCGCGAGATGTGAGTATGGATATTTGCAGTGTGTGTGTGTGTATATATATATAGGTATATTAGTGTTGATTTTTGAAGCGTGTGTGTGTGTGTGTGTGTGTGTATAGGTATATTAGTGTTGATTTTTGAAGGTTTTGAGAGGATATAGGAAAAGTGTTTCACTTTCGTCATCAATCCTGCTGGCAGCATATCTTGTTTTATTTTCAATTCTATGGATTTGGGTAGGGTTGGATATTATCTTCTTCTTTTTTGCCTTCCTCGCATCACTCTTCTATAATCTTATCATAAGATTTCCTCTTAAAAAAAACTAAATCTATAATGGGAAACAGATAAATTCTAGCTCATCCTAAGAAAATCTCTTTTTTACAAGAGAAAAATAGCAAAAATAGAATTAAAAAGCTGTTTGCCTTCAGCTATCACATTGCAGGATCATGTGAGATTTGTTCTTAATTGAATCTCATGAATCTAATGGCTCATAGTTTTCTTGTAATCTGTTGTCGTTTTTTTCCGATAAATTATCCTTAATTTAAAGATAAAATAGTAAAAATAGATTTAAAAAAATTAACCTAGGATCACATAAGATTTATTCGAATCTAATGGCTTATAGTTTCCTTGTGATCTGATGTTTTTTCCACAAATACCAGCAATTTAAAGAAAAATAGCAAAAATAGATTATAAAAAAAAGAAGAAATTAACATTGCTGAATCACCCGAGATTTATTCGAATCTAATGGCTCGTAGGTTTCTTTTAATCTATTATGATCAATTTTTTTTTTCTACGACTCTCACATAAGATTTATTCGAATCTAATGGCTCGTAGATTTCTTTTAATCTATTATGATCAATTTCTTTTTTTTTTTTCCTATGACTATCATTAATTTTACACCATTCAAACCTTCAGGGATTGGAGAAAACCTGAAGCAAACCGAGAAAGCTGGCCACAACCTGTGATGCAAACTGTTTTTAAAAGTTTTTTTTTTCTTGAAAAATAAGATATTCATATTTTTTAAATGATTTTTATATGTTAATTTCAATTGAAAAAAATAAAAAACCCTTAAACATCATTAATTTAAAAAAAAAAAAAAAAAAAACTTAGAAACATCTGCATCACCGAGCTCACACACATAGCAGTGAGCAGAAACATAATTGGCTGATTATTTGGTTAGTTTAATCATTGATTTTATCTAGCAAGGGATACGGCTATAACTCACATTTGATAGTCCATAACATTGATACCATTAAGTAATTTAATCGCTATCAATGAGCATTTGCTAATTTATATCATAAGCATTTTACTTTCCCTTCTTGCTTCTTTTGAAGTGTTTTACAGAAACATTTTCACAGAGCAAACTGTTTCAAGAATTAAGGATTTTTAATGCTATTAAGAAAACAGATTAGGGGCTACTCAATCATGCATGTTGAGATTACGAGCTGTGCTTCAAATATCAAAAATCCAGATATACTTTAAATAAAAAAAAATTGAACCTCTTCCCCTTGGCTTTAACAATATTTACAGAGAGGTAAAGCCCTTTATGGTTAAAGGCAGGGAAAATTGTAAACAAACAGATGAAGTCTGTTATGCTAGTCCTGAGAAGTATAAAGCTGTACGGTCCTTGGCCAAACCTGGCCGTAGACATCCTTCTTGCTATAGCGCCGGTCCCAAGACCAGGGAACATCTGCCATGACGATAACAGAAGTCAGATGCATGCAACAAAAAACAGGCAGAAATGAATGGGAAAGAGAAAATGACCTTCTGAGCTGTATGGTTTAGGAGGGAGTTCATAAGGCACTGGCAATGGAATCACTTTGGATGCCGAATCGCTAGTTCCTTGCCATTTCAGAGTCACTAGTGTTGCTCTCAGCTCTTCAGAATCAGCTAATGATCCACAATTATCCTGAAACTAGAGGGCAGTAACTTGTCAATAAATCTCATATAACGGTGGTAGACTTGCCATTAAATCACACTACAATTTAGTATCAAAAGGCCCAGATATAGCAATTACCATGGATGGACATCCATCACTTGTGCAAGAAAATCCAGAACCGTATCTTCTTATGGAAGATGGTAGAAAGAGCACTCCCAGCTGGAAAAAACCACACGATGAATTAAGGCATCGATGTTTCTAGGGGATCAGAAGGCAGGAAACACATGAAATTGTGAACGTATGAAAATTAACCAAAAAAATATTAAGGAAAAAATCATAATTTGTTAGCGTTTGCTTATTGTCACATTATTGTCACAGAAACATGATTTCCTCATGCACATACCTCGTACGAACGGATCATCAACTGAGAATTATTCTTCTGCAAAGCCCCCCAGGCTGCTTTGCTAAGATTTGATGAAGTAAGCAAAAACCAACTGTTTGGAAAACGTTTCAATTCAGTTTCAATAGTAAAAAATTGATTGACTTCTTGCAGTCATTTAGCTCTTCTTCAGGCCACGCAAAACTCTTAAGAAACCATTATAAGTGAAAGAAAGCAACCCTTACGCAAGTTTCTGGCTGTTATAGCGAGTGAAAGTCTTTATATGAGGCATCGCCCGACTGAAACAATGGAATACACAAAGTTAAGCGTCTTTCCCCCAGTTTGAAGAAGCAACCACAGCAAAAGTGGCAATGCATGTGCTCACAACTTAAGTGGCCATGAATAAAAAAACCAAGATTTGGTGATGGAATTTAAATGATACAACTCCAGTTAGCATTTTGTAATCCAAACTGTCACTGGGAATGATATGGACATATACCAGCGGCCAGAATGGGATGCCTTCCATTTAGCCCAATACTTCTTCAAAAATCCTTTTTCAACATTCTTTAGTGGGCCTGGAATAGCATTTCCAGCTGCATAACCCTGAAGAAAAAAGTAAAACAATCATAAGAGAATAGCATTGGACTTTTACAAGTGCAAAGCATAGCAATAACACTAGTGGAAAAATATGAATATAAAATAGACCCCTGGAGCATACAACATGAGAATTGAACTATTCAACTTCATTTTCAAACATTAACAATAGATAACATTAAAAAAAACAATAACTTTCCAATAGCTCATAGTGCAGCACAACAAGACCCACATTTACACATATTAAAATACCATGAGTTACAAGAAATCCCATAGAATTAGTGTTAGACTTGTGTGTAATCTGATTGGTCAAACCTAGTCAACTTGACTTGTTCTTTACAGCATTGAACTTCTCCACTGGATCAATCATAATTGGTTGTTTATGAGCATGATTTCTTTAACATCTTGTTCACAAAACTACACAACCACACAATCTTTTACTTTCTAGCAGTGGGAACTTCAAATCAATCAAAAGATAATAAAATAAAAATACTTGGCATCCAGGGCAAGAGAATTTTGAATTGACCATTCATGCCCAAAGGCAAATTCATTTGAAATAAAGATGTGGGTTAACAGTAATGGTTGTTTCCATCTGGCTTTATTAATGATAATGTCAAAATTACAAACAAGATCAATGCACATAGCCTCATTTGACCCACATCTCAATAATATTCAGAAGACAGCTGAAAGCAATCCCTAGCCCCCCTTCCTCCAACTAAACCCCAAAGTGGGGAACATAAGTTGGTTCCTGGCTACCATGTGTCCAGTTTACTGGCTGGCTGCTTTAATGCTTTCAACATCTTATAACTCCATAAAAGATAAGCAATCTAAAATGATACCCAGGTCAACCTATTATCCAAGAAAAGACAAAGTTCAAAACCTTAAAATGTTTAAAGATAAACAAGGATTTGTGGAAAACAATGCAAGGTGCAGTGGAAAAAGCTCAAAGAAAAGACCTACATGTTAGTACCTCTAAGGAGCATCTGACATCCTCTACAGTAGGCCATATTATTTGAGGCTCTCCAAGACCAAGAGGTGTTTTATCTTCAGCATATCCGGATGACATTGAAATGGCCAGTTCGGTCATCCACTTTTCATCCAAAGAACCAAGGGAAGAGAACTGCAACAAGGAAAGAATACGAAACAATTCAATAAAATTTCTCAAAGCAGAAGGAAGTGCATGGTAGCACTAGTAATTTCCAAGATTTCACCCACAGCCCATTGAACAGTTCAAATAACTCTCTCATCTGTAACACAGGAAGATCAGCAGACTGCATAGCATGAATCAACTAGTCAAGTTTAAACTGTTTTTACAGAAGTAAAGAACTTAAAAAAAAAAAAAAACTACTGATTAAGATGACATTTTATTTCACTTCAGCACCTGTTCACATCAAACCTCAATTCTCACATGATCAGTACTCATTATACTAGTAAAAGAGGAATCCACCATACCTGATAAACAAGAGGAGACCTTTTAAACTCATTGTCGAAGGTGCATTCTTGAAGAACACTTTGTAGCTTCATATGTCCCCACTTCCTTAGATCGGCACCAGTATGATATCCAGGAACAGATGCAATTAACCTGACCTGAAAATTGTGTAACCAGGTTCATAAAGATATAACATTCCCAGACAAAAATTCCAGTAAGGATAAGAGACTGAATAACATACCGCTGCATGGCTATAATCAAATTTCTTGAAAAAGGATGCATTGATACTAATACTCCCAAGGTTTGGTAACTTTACAATAAATTCAGGCCACTGTATACATTGAAAAAAAAAGGATTAAACTTGTTCAGAAAGAAATACATGGGGGAAATATCCCTAATCATCTCCGCTGCAATATAATTATACCTTCAACACGCTAAGATAATCAACCAAGTCATTTTCAAATCCACATCCTTTTCCAGGCTTCTTCTCCTTCCAAGGGAAATCTTGCATCCACAAACCTTGGCTTTTGTTATTCCAGTCAACATGTATTAAATTTGCTGTATGAACAATAATTCGCACTCCTCGAGGATAGACAAGAAACATAGCCTTTGAA